GAGAAGAGAAAATTTACATACTTAAGTACTAATAGTTCACGAAAATTATTATTTTCGTGAACTATTATTACTTAAGTATGTAAAAATTTATTACATTTCCTGTTGTACGAGGGTTTTACCCAATTCTCGAACCGTGTCAGAGTAAAACCGTGCTATAAAAGTACCGTGTTATACGGGGGATGGTACCAATTCTCGAACCGTGTTAGAGTGAATCCGTGCTATAGAAGTGCTGTGTTATACGGGGGTTACCTGTACTTGGTAATGTACATGTTTACAATTTGGCGATGTTTACAGTACATCGCCAAATTACCAAATTCACAAATAAACCCTCTTTATTTGTGAATGTGATTTACTCTAAGACATTATAAAATAAGATGAATTTGTAAGGTTAAATAACAAATACGATTATTAAAATTATCTTGTGACAGTAGAAAATAAACTAATTTATATTAAATTTGCCAATATCGGTTGGCACTGATGATGACGCCAAACGGTAGATGTTGGAGCTACCTTGGAAAACACCAATATCGAGTGCTTAAAGACCGCTAAATAAGACGACAACACAGAGTCACAGATGTTTTCATATTTCGTTCTCTACGATTTATGATGATTATATTAACATTTACTGTAAATGTATGTATTTTAATATGATTTTATGTGCTTTTAACACTTTTCTAGTGATATTACGATTTCAATATTTGTGGTGGACAGACATAGAGTTGAATAAAATGACTTAAACTTGATTTTTATTTTTCCATATATTTTTTTGACAAATGACGTAACTCGAGGTATACCTGTATGTTTCTAATATCTCACTTATGGTAATTAATATAAATTTTTGAAATCTGAAAGTTTGTCGAATCTTTGAATGAAACACTTAAATTCAGTTTTTCTGGAGGATGTATCATGCAACCAGATTTGTTCTAATTGGAGGAGTTTCAGTTCCAATCACATTGGTGTTCTCATTGTCGATCTTGACAGTGACTGTGATGACTCAAAAGTAGTATTTTTATCTGTGTTATAGTGTTGCTTGAACTAATATGGTGAGACAAATGAATACTTGGGGCCATATTCTGGTCACTTATCTCTCGTCTCTATCAGAGATGAATGATGTCAAAATGAGGCAATTCTGGTCACTTTTAATGATCTTGTCTTTGTTATTGACATCATGATTCTATTAGGTTGATTATACACCTTTGGTTTTCTGTGCGTGCAACACCGTATAGAATTTTAACCAATAAAATTGTAAAATTTTCAAAAATGCAGAGTACATAATTATAGATCATGTGGTAAAGAAAAATGAGTTTAAATAAAGCATGCAATTTTGTTGAAGATATGCTGTTTGTTTTATGATGTTTTTTACAGATTGTAATGTCAAATTGTCTCTTAACAAATAAAAATGTTAATATCCTAAGTTAGAAACAGCATACATCCATACTTAGTTAAGGAAAAATTAGATGGTAATATTTTGAAAAACGCTTAGAGAGACGGATAAGATTAACACGTATTCAATAGTTTAATAATTGTTGTAGGATAATTAAAAATGATGGAATCAGTGGCGTTCCTGAGTAGGCACTGGAAAAAAATCAGAAGCATTTTCTCTCTCAAAATATTTCTTCTCAAGATAGAGAATGTTCTCTAATATGATTGTATAGTGCGAGTAGCATCCAGTCATACATATTGGATATAACAAAATCGAGGAAAAAGACGAAAGACAACTATCCACTCGTCTCTGAGAGATCTTTGAGAGTAAACGTTGTCCAGAATTGTGTTTGGAGAGACGCGATGATCTCTCGAGACGTAAACAAATGATTAGCCAATCAACTACAAGCTTGTGACATAGACATTCTCTCTCTCAAAGACAAGAGATGATGACCAGAATACACCCCCCCCATTTTGTGTGTTCTGTTCGTTTTTTCTGAGTTTACCTTGGTCAGTCCGAACTATCAACAAGTGTGATACTTTGTGTTTTGACGTAATCTGGCACCCATCCATCAATGATGGCCAATCTTTTAAGCATTATTTTTTCTTACTGTCAAGAGCCTGGTGTCCTGACCTGCTTCTGTCTGCATAACCTTTTGCCATAGTTGAAGCTAAGTTAAATTACTGTGTACATCTGAGACCCCTTTAGTGAGTAGGAAGAGGAAAACAAATGTTTCTGGGTTGCCGGAACATGTACTACTAGAGAATTAGTTTTTGATTAAGGGGTATTCTGATTATTTAGCAGTGCTAATGTAAAGTTAGTATATCATCATTACGCTTCTTTATAAGGTGTTTTGGCTGCAACTCTTAATTTTCAAACATAAAACACCATAAAACTTATAAAGAGAGGACTTAAATGAGAAAATTCTTATAGTTAGCTACTAATTTAATGATACTGAATGTCATTATTTCAATTTTTATAGCAGTTTTTAGACTACCCCAGTATTGAATAATGACTATATAAAATCGGTAGAGAAATTTGGTATTTTATACAATTTTGTTATGCTAATTTAATTATATTAACAATTTCAGATCGTATCCTAAATTATTATCAGAGATTGATGCCACTGAAGCTTTGGCACGGGCAAAGTACTTTGATGTTGTCACTCAGAACACAAATAATTATACCGAAATTCAAGATGTTGTTAAATTATATTCAATTGCACTTATCAGGTTGGTCTCCTCTACAGTTTGTTTCTTCTGTCTAATTTAAATTACCTCACTAATTGATATTTCTTACAGATTTATTAAATTAATTGACGAATTAGGAAAGAAGAAAGGAATCGTATCGGTTAACACTGCTGCAAAATTGGTTAAGATATTTGTTTTTTTGGAATTGACAATTGTTCTGTGCATAATTTGAATGTGATAATTTATAATTATTTATTTCTGCATGCAGCTTAACATACCGAGATGGATTGCTGATCTCCGACATGATGTCACTCATTACATTGTTCCTCCGGTAAGGATTTTGAGGGAAGGAGTCGAATTTGCTCTTAATTGGTTAAAAGACCATTACTGGGACCAACGTTTAGAAGTTTCGGATGAAGAAACTTCGGAAGATACGCTTGCTGAAAGAGAAGCAAATGCCAAGAATTTGATTGATAATTTTTATAGGCTGCAGTACAATGTGAGACTGCTTAATCATTCATTTTATTACATTTTTGATTAGATAAATCTAACTTTGTAATGTTTTTATTTATAGAATCCTTTAGCAACTAGAAAAATTAGGTATACATTACGTGCTGCGAGTTCCATGATCCGACGTGATATGTGAGTACAGTTTTTGTTTGTATTATAAATCAAATAAATATTTAATTAGATGTTAAATCATTGATTTTGATAGTTTATAATGATGCCTTTTTCTTTTCATAATAATTAAATTGATCTGATGTTTTTGTGTTATACACAAGGGCTGGCCAAACTGGTTCATGAGCTGTATGCAGCTCTTCTAGACCCTTATTGCAGCTCCAATATACTTACACAATTTCTTTTTATGAATGTGGTATGTACTATTACACATATGATATTTTTGCAAGTTTTCCGATTATGTAGTGTAATATACATGTAGTGTAATATACACAAAAATTGTAAGCGAAACTTGCAACTTAACCTCAAACGGGCGAGTGAAAGATTAGGTGGTATTTGTGAATTTGAAGGAATTAAATGATTGTTTACTGGTACTTTATGACAATTAGATAAAGTAACAGTGGTAATTATATTATATATAGTTAAAATTCAATAAACAGGGTATGTAGCTCTTCAATAGGCATTCCAATAGAGGATATCGCTCTAGTGTATTTCCGATGGATAGTGTACAGCTTGTATTGTGACAAGGTTTGGCCATCCTTGTTATACACTAATGTGCTGCAAGCAAAATGTATCATAAATATTATGAAAGTATATTTTAAAAATGAGAAGAAACAAAGATTTATTATGTCCACAATCAGATAAAGGCTAGGCCACTATTATAGGATATCAGTTATTATAGCACATGGCTGTTTGTAATTGAAAATACAGTGTTATGTTTTTAATTTTGTACATGAAGTGCACCAGAAAAACTTTCCATATTTCACAATGCACTACAAACTGGAAATGCTTTAGAACCATTGCTCTAATTGATACTCAATGGTGTGCAATGTAAGTACTTGAGAGAAGTCTAGACTTTCATTGATATAGAATTCATGGATGATGATAAAATAATATAAGAAAATTCTCCAAGGGAGATACCTCCTGGGGACTTTCTATTGGGAGTTGATCCCTATTTGTGTGTCTAACAATTAATTGTTAGACACACAAATAAAAATTCTGGCCTGTTGGTCAGGCACGAATGAGAAACTGACTACCAGCATTTGGGCATAGGGTAATATAAAAACAAAATTTATTCTAAAAAATAATTCTAAAAAAGGTATATTTCTAGAAATAAAAGAGTTAAAAATTACGCTCTTCTATCCGACTTTGAGAAATTTAACACAAAATCACCACAGCTAAAGATATCAAAAGCTATGTGAACACTTTAAATAAGAACATTGGATTCACTTATGAAGAAGAAATAAATTATGAAATTAATTACCTAGATGTCACAATTACAAGACAAGATGAAAAACTACTGTTTTGTAAGTACAAAAAACTTGTAATAATAAAAAAGTGGTTAATTATAAATCATATTACTCTATGGAAATCAAAAGAAATATATTTTTAATGAAACTAAGAAAAATTTTTAATAGAACGTTACAAGATCATATTGAAGTAGAAACTAGAAACCTTTTTAAAAAGTATTTATTGAATGATTACCCACAATAACTTATATATAAATGATATAATTTCTATATCATTAACAGATACAATGTTAAATATGATAAAACAGATACTTTGTCTATTAAGATCCCATATATTACAAAAATTTATGAGAAGTATAAAGACCTTTTTAAAAAATATTTTTTTGATTTTAAAAAAAAAAATAAAAAATATTTTTTTGATTTAGTAGGTGAACAAAAAAATAGATTAATTAATACTGTTCATTTGATTAATAAAGAAGATTCTAAATATTTAAAGAATTCTTTTGAAATTGCAGGAGTTGTTTACAGATTGTCGTACACATACATGTACCAGCCGAAAAATATTATATAGGTGAAACTGGAAACACGATTGAGGGAACATGTAGCAGCAATTAGAATTAAATGAAGTGAATCTCCATGGCATCAACATTGTAACATTACAAATTGTATAATTGATAGAAATAATATTAAAATAATGTTTAAGACAAAAAATATTGTAAAAAGATGTATTATCGAACATTACTGCATTGTAAATCATGTAAATACAATTAATTTAAATACTGGCATATGTGTAGATGCATGCTGGGATACTGTGATTGAGTATAAAACTACTAAGGATGTATAATATTGTATCCACTGATGAAGCCAATGGGCGAAATGCATTTGGAAAATATAGTAAGAAATAAATATTAAAATTAAATTGTGATCCATCTCTGTGTTAAATTTCTCAAGTCGGATAGAAGAGAGTAATTTTTAACTTGTTTATTTCTAGAAATATACCTTTTTTAGAATTATTTTAACTTATTTAATAACTGATCCCATTGTTTTTAGTTTTTAATTTTATAATTTAAAAATTTATTCTTCTCACTAAATAAGTAAAAATTACTCAAAATTGTCAAAAGCGTTGAATATTCAACATTAAAAATCAATTTAACGTTAATAATGTGATGTAAATGATTAATAAATTTAAATATTTTTATGTATTTTTAGTGAGACATTCTCCAAGATTCTTGTTTCTTACATGTTACCAAATGAAGAGAGTTTGCGAGAAATCTTAAAAGACGAAAGTAAGATTTGTTTATTTTCTTATAGAATTCGGTACTTTAGAATTTTAAAGAATAAATATTGACAATTAAACATTGCGTATTTAATAGTAGTCCAATACCTTCTTTTCTTGATTCGCAACCCAAATTAGTTTTCTTGGAAGTTTTTTGCTCGACAGAAATAGTTTGAATTGCATTTACATTTGAGGATCTTCTATAACAAGTGTATTAATTATGAACTTGGTAGTGAGAGAAAAAAGAAAAAAGCAGCTCTAATATTACAACTGTGCAAATTTCCCACTATAATTACGAAATGTCATGTTATTTTATTTTATTAACCTTTGTAGTGTCGTACTACATGATTCACACTGTATTTCTGGGAATGTAGGCTCGGTATTATAAATTCAGGTTATGAGAAATATAATGACAATTCTGTTTTCTGGAATTATTTAGTTCATAAAAACGGGAGTCTACCTTAACTGATATTTACATTACAGATATTTACTACTAAAATTATATTAAAAAATTTTATGCATTTTTAAAAGCTGTTAATGACTAGTACTGCATTTGTATGCTTATAACTCACAAAAAAACTGCTAGAAAAAAATAAAAACCTTTGTGTAATCTCCTTCACTATAAATCCTGCATCTAAGGAGCAACAGCTGTTCCATTAGGCGAGAGTTTTGTAATTGTAATTTAAAACTGGCATATAACTTGCCGCATTGTGTAGCCAGCATCCCTTTTCGACTTGTCTTTTAAACATTGATAACTTGTAGTTAATACACACAAAAACATAGTAAATGCGAAGATGCTAACTGGCATTACTTGTTGATAATTTGGCACGACTAGAAGCTTTAAGAGTATTCGGGTTGCATGAGTTGCTAATGTTTTTTCTCAAATCTCTTAAAATGCAAAATGTTTATCACTCTGAATTGTTATTAAATGATGCAACTTTACTGGTTAAACTTTTTATGCAGTCAGTCCATAAACTAGAATAAAATGGTGTTTATGCTTGCATCATATTTTTTTTCCAGCTTGTACCATTAATTTTGGATTGTTTACAGCAGGAAAGCAAATTTGCCATAAAAACCTTTGATGTTATAAAATCAACAATTCTATTAACAGTTCCATTGCACACAAAAGATTGATAAAATTAGTATCGAAAATCTTTAAGCAAGTAGAGTTTGAGTATGCAATATGTTAACATCTAATCATCTAAAGCAATTGCTTCGTTGCTGTAATTTCTCTACTTACAATGGGAAATTTCTTGTTCTTCCACTCCTCGATTACTATTGTCATAATTTTGTGCTCATTGTGGGTTTATTGGCCTGCAGTTGCAGTTAGACGGATGGAATCCAGATTGAACTACTTGTGAAATTCATATGATTCTAGTTCGGTATTGAACTCTGTCTGCACAGAGTGGCAGACTGTTGCATACATCACTTTGGCCATCTGGCCACAAAACTTTAACTAGAATGTAAATAATTAAATACAAGAAATGAGTTTTGGAAAAATGAAAAACTAAACTTTACACATTTCAGAGCCAAATTTTTTAAAGTCTGCATCTACCATTTTACCAAAATCTGTCATGCTATTTTGGAGTCCTGTTCTGAAATTATATGACAACAGAGAAAAGTTTTGCGTATTATTAAAGTGTTTATTATCGTTTCCCAAACCTACTTCAGATTCTTTTCGACACAGACTAGTTGCAGCATGGATGAGGAAATTTCTGAAATCGAAAAGTGAGTAAAAACCTATGATTGATACTTTTATTTTGATAAAAATTTTGATTTTAAAATTTATTTTCTGTTGTAGAAATAAATTTTAAGTCAAAAAATCATTTTCCGAAATGGAGCTGGTTGCTAAAGAAGGCATTAGTTTGCGAAAACGAATATTCTCCGGAATTCTTACCGTTGTGAGATTCATGATTTACAAATTTAAGATATCATTTACGTAAATTATAACAGTATCTTCTTGCAAGCAAAATCTTATTTATTTTTTATTTTTAAGGATGTTAGAAAATTTAGATGTTCCAATACCTGAAGATAAAAAGCAGGATCTGATGGCCTTACTTGCCATAAGACTCGGAAAGACTTATAAACCGAAGTCTAATTCTGACAAAGTTTCTCAGACGTATTCGGTGTTAGATTTAGAAAAGGGTAAGAGAATTCTATGTTTTTTCGTTTCAGATTAATTCGATTTCACTAATCTTCATTAATAATACACTATGGTGTGTGCCTAGTCCAGCAAAGCACTGTTAGGTAATGTATAGACAACAGTTACAATACAAAGATATGAGATGCAATATAAAAGGATGAAAAGGGTGCTTATTTTTAAGAAGATATTAAATACAATACATACACAATGGTAAAACAAATTAAGAGGTGAAGAGGCAGCTACCTCTATGGGAGATTAATGAAAATGTAGAACACTTGTCTTGGCATATTTATTGATAAGAGAGAAAATCAATGTAAACATCTCAAAATTTGATAAGTCGATTGCAGCTAAAACACTGCAGCATTCCCTCTTTCTGCCATTTGGGCACTCAGAGCCTTTTTATTGAGCCCATCATGGCCTGGCCTGGCCTGATGGAGCAGTCGGGTGGCGAGGGACAAGACCAAATGTATCCAGAATGACCATCCTTGAAATTCTTGGGTTTTTTGATCCCATCCAACTTTGGCCTATTGTTCTGGAAAACTAAGAACAATGTCTTAACATTCGAGGCCAAATGGTTATGGGTTTGGAGCAGGAGGTGATGTCATTTCCAATGAACCTCCTGAAGGGGCAGGTGAAGACGTAATGATTACTCTCGTCTGGCATTGCCAAGAGAAGTTATTCCAGTCAGATTTCATAGTTGTTGATAGAAAATAGAGAAATAATTTTTAGCTGCAACCAAAATTATGGATTTCTTGAGGTTGGCCCCAATAAATGTTCATTCCAATTACAATTGTTATATGCAATTATTCATGGCCGTTTCATTCCAGTGGTGTGTCTTCGCTGAAATTTTATTACTGCTCAGTTAGCCATTTTTGATTTTAGCAAATTTATTTTTCACTGTAATTTCATAAGTAAAAGTAAATTGCTTTTCACACTGTGCTTTTATTTTGCTAGTCCTTTTTGTGCCATGAGAATATAATTAGAATCAAGTCGATTTACTTTTGTGGGTTTTTCCTGCTTAATTATGTTAAAATTGCCAGTGATCTGAGGAATTTGAACTTGTGGAAAGTAAAAATTTAAAAACTCCATCATTTAGTCTTTTTTACTTACCTTGTGAAAGCATTTGTCTCGAAGTTGTGGGGGGTCTTGCGTGCACTGACAATCCTCACTATTGCTGCCTCCTCCTCAGCTTGTTGGTGTACACGGCTGGAATAACCTTAGGATTGGTGATAAACTTTAGAATATAACACAGGTATTTTATCCCTAAGTTGGATATTTAGGCTATTTGGCTGGCAACTCAAAACTTGTAAAACATCTACATAAAGCTAACGAATGTTTCCAGACATTATAAGAATTTTGAGCCCGTATCCTTTTTTAGACTGAGAAAGTCTTGATACGTAAGAAAGATAAATGTATTTTCTACCAACATTTAAATTTTTCACTGTTATGTTCCATATAATTACAGTAGAGTGTCAATTATCCGAATCAATTGGGGACTGGGGGTTGTTCGGAAAATCAATTTTTTGGATAACCGATTATTAATAATGTATTTTTTCGTACATATAGTATATTAATATATCCCATGTTTAAATTTTTCTCCGTTATGTGTTGCTTCGCATTGAATTTTCGTTGATGTTAAGCCTAACGAAAATTTTTATAATAAAATCATGGCTATTGTATCGTTAAAAATTATTTCTTTATTTTTTTTACAAACAAAATAAATATATTGAAAAATATAAAAACAAAAATTATACTTTACAAGTTAATCTAGTATCAAAAACATTTGATTCAGCACGACACAGTCTGATTGGAACGCTTTTCGTTAATTAACGTTTTGGTTGATCGGCATTTGGATAACCAACGCTCTACTGTAATATTGTGGGACAATGAGGAAAAGAAATTGTGTTTTCCGTAATAGATTTCCAACAAGTGGATATTGCAAGTCAATTGTCAACAAATTTTCGCCGTGAAAATTCCTTTTTCTTGCAATTGAAATGCAAGAAAATTAATTATTTTAGTAACTACATATAGACAAAAATCACAAATTTGGAGAATTTGTGCACGGCAGCCCTCTGAAACATATGATGCTGAAGAAATTTTGGTGACACGCGACAACAAAAAAATAGTCATTAAAATTTTAATAAATACTAGAAAACAGTGTTTCTCGACTGCCGGTCCGTGAAAAAATTTCACCAGTCTGCAGAAAAAAATATTTGACTGTACCGACATGAGCAGAGTTGATTATGGGTGACATTTAAGTTATTGTGCATATTTGTTGTTACATATAATTACTGGTCCGTGTAAATTTATCCATAATTGTACTTGTCTGCAATGAGAAACACTGCTATAAAACATAATTTGTTAATCCTTGATTTAAACATATTTTTCTTAACAATTTGTATTTGTGCTAGCATACACCATTTGCTTCTGATGAATGAATAAAGTGGATTTCCTTTAAACCTTTGTCCATTATCTCTGCTTAACCCAATAACCTTCAGACTACAAACTTTTGAATTGACAATTCAGATATTTGATACTAGGCCAGGGGTCGCCAAAGTGGTCTATGTTGACCCCCAGGGGTCAATGAAAAGACTAAAACTTACAAATTTTGAACCAAATATTGCTAATCTTGCTAAGGATTATCAAGCTTATCCATCTCATTGATTGTCAGTTACAAAACTTACTATTTTAATATATATCTTTTAATTGTACATAATAATAAAAGCTTTTTTTTGCTTGTAACACAAACTTTTTGGTGGGGGTCAATGTGAGGTTTCGAAAAGTTGTAGGGGATTGATGATCAAAAAAGTTTGGCAACCCCTGTACTAGGCTATAGAATATATTTTTAATAAAAATTTATTATCTCAATTGAAAGCTTTGTAATAAACACTAAATTTATTTCTATAGATCTGACTTAAATAAGAATGTATTTACAATTTTTTTAGTGAGGTTAAGGGAAACAAAATTTATCCAAGGACAACCTCTTCACTGGCAAGTTTGCACAGGTTAGTTTAAAAAATATATATGTAATATATTTATTATTATTATTTTTTTTTATATTTGCCACAAAAAAATTTGTTTTCCTCTCCTTCCCTAAACAATTACAGCCAAATATTTTTATTTAGAGATTTCACTTGTATCCTTTTAATCCGAAATGTTTTGGATCCGGTTTTATTCCGGACTTAATTTGAGAACTGGTTTTCCTGCTCTGACCTCAAAATATATTATTATTGTTGTTTATTAAATAATAATTACTCTGTTGTTATGGATCTACAAAATTAACGCAGATTTTTTCGTAATTAACTGTATTAAGCAACATAGTGAAGTTTAGACTTATGCAAAATTTGCTTCTTGATATTATCAAGTTTCCAATTCTTTAGGCTCCTGATAAACTCGATGCTTAGATTTCTAGCAAGGCATTCTTCTCTTACATTTTTAACAAAAACTGGACTCTAGATTCTATAATGAAAAACAATCCTGCAACTTTTCTGTAAAGTCTACGGGTATTAAATGTGATTACTTCTGATAACGATTTTATAGAAATCTATATTTAATTTGGGAATTTTTATATACTTTTTAGATGATATTCAATGGAGAGATTGGCCATTGGGTTGCTTACCCGGAATCAATTCGAATTGGTAAGATAACTATGACATTTTATGCAATTTTGCTTAAGTACCTTAACTCCCATTTGCATTCCTAGCTTGCAGACGTATGCTGAAGTGGAAGAGGAAAACAACCCGCAGCATTTATGAATGTTGATTTTGGTTATTTTTGAAATAAAGGTATATTTAAATTTTGTAATAATTGAAATGGCAAAGCCATGCTGGACACAAACCAATTTTATTAAAATTGAGACGCAGCAGTTTAACAATTTTACAGCCGTACACAGACATTCAGATTAACAGAGAATAGAAATGTTCCCATAAAACAACGAACCACACGTGCATGCCCAAAAGTTTATTGTGTATATAATAATGTATATTTAAAAAACAAAAAAACAGCGTGTTTGTAGAAATAAAGAGGAAATAACCCAACGTTAAGTTACCGACGGCCGTTTTGCAGATAAACCACAACCAAATTACAGATCAAAAACGACACTAGACTGAATACAATATATCTTAAATACTATCAGCTGCTTTGTTTTTAAGAAAATTGGGTCCTGAACCCTATACATACAATGACAATACACAGTATTGTATATAACAATAAGCTGAACATTAGATACATCATGATACATGTTGTTTTATCAACATACATACTCTCCCGGTTGGCCGCAATACCGGCAGCTCGCCAGAAGCGTTTCAGCTTTATTATTTTTTTTTGCACTAGTCGGATACCTTATTTTCGCCCAGATAATCGATTTAAAAACAATTATATATATATATACATTCATTTACTATATTAATGGAGAGATGATTTGGCTACCATAATGACGACTCTGTACACGGGTGCGATTTTTACTCAACAAAAGTCGGGCCGTGCAGAGCAAATCGAGCATTGTAATAGGACTTATCACAAGAATGAGAAATTATCCATCCCTGGGTAAAAAATAAATGGAATGTGCAAGCAAAATTATGCACGAAGATTTGGTTTTCGAATTTCGTTACAAAAATTGCAACAAAATTTGAAAAGGGGTCGAAGTCGTTGCTGGTATTTTTGTTTTTCCTAAGAGTAAAAATAAAGTTTCAGAAACAGTAGTTTTGAATATCAAAAAACTGCATTGAGCTTGTACAAGACTAGACAAGAGATTGGCTTCGACAAAAATAAACAGGTGATGTATTTGGAGGTAGGCTCTCTGCACCGTTTCCGAGTTGTACTCGTTGCCACCTAAATGCAAAAAAAAATAATTCCGAAGTAAAATCCTCGGTCATTTTGCAGTCTGGTAGCAGCAGATACGTCAAATAAAAATCAAATCTAAATTGTATGATGGCAATACGTTTAAAAGCTCGCTTCAGAAAGAGTGAAAAAAGAAAAAAAATATTGGTCGTCATCACACAAACCGATTACATTTCACACAAAATTCAAATCTTCACTTGATAGGATAACAATTTATAAAATAAATACTGCAATTGTTATACTTTGTGATGTAAAACATGATAGCGCACAATATCAATTTTAAAAACTTTAACGGCGATCCCCACTTGTTTCGTATTCTGACAGTTTCTTGAATTCCAAGCCAATATACACTGTTTGGGATTAGGGTATATACATTCGTTACTTAGGATACAGGGTCAGTATGGCTGCACATATCTTCTGTGGATTCTTTTCCTCGGGATACATATCCATTGCCGCTCTGACTTGCTGCTCTGGAAATATCGAAGATAGGTGGTAGTACAACTTGTATCTGGATTCATCCGATAGATCCGGAGACATGGCCCGCGGAGTGCCCAGTGGAGACATGGTTCCCAACTGCACCGCCTGGGGCGGTACACTGGAGGGTCTGACGGGCTGGTTGAGCTGACTGATGTTTAATCCTGTGCTGTGCATGTCTGGCCATCTGGAACTCGTCTGCATGACGGGCGGCGTCGCACCCATCATCTGGAGTCCAGTGCTACTGATGGGAACTGTGTCATTCTGCATCAACCACGATTGCGCGGGTATCTCTCCGAGGTAGTTTCCCAACATTCCTGGAGGACAAGTCTGGATTTGCTGAGCAGGGGTCACTTCAGGAAAGACATTTAATCTCGTGTCGGAAGTACTATTTAGCCTCTGCATTCTTCCCGAAGGTGGAGGCCACTGCCGGTAGGAATCCGGTGCACTGGCAATTCTGGTGACAGAATGGTGCTCTTGTCTGTCAGTGGTCAAGTTTTCCCACGGTTGAAGGTGAGACGGAACAGAAAGCGAAGTCTTGTTGTCACTACACATTCTGGTCCTGTGCTGATTTCTCACATAACTGCTCCGTGAGTGAATGTTTTCTTGGCTACTGGCTCTATGCATTAAGAGAGGATGTTCTACCTGCTGTGATATGAGATTAAAATGTTCTGGTTGTGGAGACATCATTCTCTGTGTACCCCCAGAAAATCCTCTCAGCTGATATAAACGAGGATCACACACCGGATTGAGTGTTAACTGACGCTGCAGTTTTCTGTGGAGATTAGTGGCAGAATTGTCTTCGGAAGTCACTCCTCCTGCAGATGTACTCGCCGCTTGGTTAAAACTGAGCCCAGCAGAAGTGCTAGTATTGTCAGGATCGGACAGTCTCTTGGCAACGGAAAGGTGACCTCCCTTGTCCGGTTCCAAAAACATTTCCACCCGGGATCCGGATATGTTTTGTGGCAGAGTAGGAGAAATAGTTGCCCAGTTACTGACGCACGTCTGAACGGACGTAGCAGAAACACCCATTGGCAGTGGAGACCACGAACTTCCCAATGCTCCCATATGCAGATCACCAACATTAGACAGAAGGTGCGTGGCAAGACAGCTTGAAGCATTTTCTGTATTCTGCTCTGCAGAAACACTTAATCTATCATCGACACTTCTTCTACTCTCTAACTCTGTTGCTCCAGGCAATTTTTTGGCTATCAGTTCCTGCGGTAGTGCAGTTGCTGCCGCAACGGATTTCGTTCTTGACAGTGGCATCTTTTTCACCTTGGAAGCAGCGGTTTCAGAAGAGGGTGGCAAACTCTGTGTCTTCAGCTTAGTTCCTGTTGTGGAAAAGGAAAACAAAAAATGTATTCAATGCACAAAATCATGTAAAATGTAGAGAGATAAACCAAGCAGCATTTTACCCGGAGAAGAATCTCTACTCTTCAGTCCCCTAGATTTGACTTCTTGCAACTGAATCTTGGCCTGCTCTGCCAGTCTCTCTGTTATGGACTTCTGTGGCTGGTTGCCACGTTCTGGATGATAGTATTTGCACTTGTTACCGTACGTACATTTTTTTCCATAGGGGCAAGGCGGCGGAAGGGTCTCCGGAGCCTTGGGCTGCTTGCGCAAGAAATTATCCAGAGAGGGCCCGTGGCGTCCCAGTGGATCGTCAGGAGGCATGAATCTAAAAGGGAAGATGGAGAAAATTTAAAAAAAAAAAGCACAATATTAAGGACGAGAAACCCGGCACCAGCGAGAGGCATTAAATTCGGCCGGGAGACATAATTTGTAAGCAATTTACCTTCCTTCCACCCTCTATCTAAAAATCATCAGGAGACAGACACTCCCTATCTGAGCAGACCATCGCGAAGCCACGTCACGTTGGCTCCTCCACTTTTCCCACGACCATAGAGTCCCATCGCGGACACCCCTGCACCTCCGTAGACGGAACTAGAGCCCATCCCAGTCTGGATCGGCACAATGACGTTAGAGAAGAGAAAGTGGTCGTTTGGGAGTAACCGACCCCACACACACACACGTGCCGAATCTCCCGCCACCCACTCGTGGCAATAAAAAAATAAATAAATAAATAAAAACACGTCTACTTTCGACACTCGCGCACGTTCCTGCCGGATCTAGCAACGAGACGTGATTCGTACCGGTCGGACTCCTCCGGAGTGGGATGGAATGTCACCCTTGACCAGACCAGTTTCGGGCAGGAGGGAGGGAGATTGGCCCAGTCGAGATGTCACGATCTCGAGTGATGTACGTGAGGATCGCGACCTTGAACGAACGAGAGAGACTACGGGTCGCCGCGTGACCCGTCACGAAGTTCGACATCCCACATTTATCCGCGAGAAAGGGGGCAGGCCATTAATTCGGTCGGAGGAAACGGAACTGGTCTTCGCGGTTCGCACGAGGGCCATTCACTCGCTCACCTGTCGTTGACAAACGAGTACATCAGCAACTTTTCCTCCACCACTTTCTTGTACTCGGGGTTCTCGTTGGCCAAATCTCGGTAATTGTCGTTGGACACCACGATCCCGTCCACCTCCACCGCCAATTTCAGGACGTATCGGTCGTCGTAACACACCATCCTTCTCCCTCCCACGTAACGGGAGGGGGTAAACACTAGCAGCCTCTCCTTCTCCAACTGAGCCAGAATCTCTTGATCTGTGGGGGAGAAAAGACCAGGGAGAGATTTTGAGGGGAAAATTCTCCACGGTGGGGAAGGGGGAGGAAGTTTCTTTTTTTGTACCTTTGATGGGCGCATCCGGTCTGGACGCCTCTTTCCTCCAGCGGGGGACGAAAACGGTGATGTCTTTGTGACCCCGGGAACGGAACCAGTCCACGCAGATCTTAATTCCTCGACACGAGAAGCACTCCTTGTTCCCGTGACTGAAAAGAGGGGGAGAGATTTAGTCAAAAATCAAGAAATTATCATTAATGCGGCGCGCAAAACCCCGCGGGTTTCGGGGGGGGGGAGAAACCGGAACCGCGAACCAGAAGAAAAAAAAATGCAGAAGGAAAGAAGAAACCCCGAAGCGATCGTAGATTAAATATATGTATTATTTTTTTTTAAAGGGAAGATGATTGGCCACAAACGGCAGACCATCGGGGCAGGTGCAACGGGCGTCACATCCTGTTTTGCCTGTGTGACGTCGGGCGAAAGTTTTTCGGCGGGTCGACGACCTGCCCGCTCCGTTAATCGGACCGGAAAACCGGTGCTCGGTCGTCTCGACCCGCAACCGGAACCGGTCACGTGCCGGATCCCGGCTCAGGTAGAATTTTTGTCGCCGCCGAGGAGGCCGTCCGGGGGAAAGGGAGAAGCAGGGGGAGGTCGGCGTTTCGAGATCCGCTTCTCCGGCGCCGGAAACGGCGTGGCGTGGCGCCGCCGCAAAATTCGGGCGGCCCAACGCGTCCGGACAGGTCGGCCCGCGGGAAGGAAAACCCGTCGGCGATGCGCCGACCTCCAAGGTCGACGGGATCTTCGTCCGCTGCGCGCCCGTTCTCTTCCCCCATCCGGCGCCTCCCTCCCCGCTTTTATCGGGAAGCCGGCGACCTCGGCGCGAAACGGCGCGGATGGGACCTTACCTGATGGCCACGTTGCTTCCGTCGACCACGACGTGTCTCAGGTTGCTTCCATCGTCGACGTCGGCATCGAAAGAAGGTAGATCCGGCGCGTCGCCGGCGTCGTCAGCGGCGCCCGCGTCGCTTCCACAGTCGTCGGCTCCGGCGGCGGCGCCGAGCTTAATGAGTTCGGCCAGGAGTTCGTTCTGTCCGGGTCGGGCCCCCACTTTCTGCAGGGCCGTCTGCACCTGGCATTCGGTGTAGCCCAGCTTCAGCCCGAATTCCACCCGCGACGTGTAATCGGGGTCCGAAACGATGGCCCGTAGATCCGTCGACTTCTCGTCCACGTACTCGGCGTATTCCGCCGCCAACGTATCCGAAACGGTCCTGCTGACGTCGTCGTGGCGGAATTCAGCATCGTTGACGTCGTAATCGGAATCGTAGCTGGAATCCTCGGACTCCAGGAGCCTGCACTGCTTCAACCCCTGCCTGGCGGACGAAGGGGGTCCCACGCGCTGGTCCAGAAGGCGCAGCGCTTCCTCCGCGCACCCCTCGCGCCCCGACACTAGCACCATTTTGTGCTCGGGATGTAGACGAAGCAATGCTCCAGTCTCCCTCTCGACGTCATCACGTACCGATGCCGCTCGTTGGTAGGCTTCGGCTGAGTAGCGACGTTCCCTCGGTGCCTGGTCCTCTCGGCACACCGACAGAAGATAGTCCTGCGGGTTGGAAAACAGAAAAAATTTCGGTTAATCTGCCCTTCCGGCACGCACCGCTGCGTTTCGTCGTCGCGTGGCCGCGCGAATGCCTCGTCCATCTGGCACTCGTTACACCTACACTCGACTCGAAAGGTGTCGCGCTCGGAACACATCCGGTTCACCGGGTGCGCGCGTGGAAACCGGAGAAAACGGCCGGACGCCGACGCGACGCGTGACGACGCAACCGCCCGGACTTACCACGGAGCTTCGCAAAGTTTCGTCCCGTCCGCCGAATGCCGCCGAGTTGTGATCAAGCCGCCGGCATTTCCCATTATCGAGTTCCGGCTTCCACGACGTCGCGTGATAGGTGCGCGGTCGTCGGACGTGGCCCGTAGGGCGCGCGAGACCTTCGACCCCGAAGCCGACGGGGGTCGCGCGCCGGGCAGGTTCGTGACGTCTCCTCCGCGTTCGGCCATATAGCACTCGCGTCCGAGCATCGCCCCGCGGCCCGGGGGATCCGGATGTCACGTTTCGGCCGTCGACGCTTGGAAAATTTTTTGCACTCCGGTCTTCCGAACGTGCGGTCGAAGGTCGGTAAAATAAAAAAATAAAATATGAAATCTTGCCACGAAGGGGCGAGACGTACAGTACTTTCCGCTTTGAGATCGACGCGTCGGGAGGGTGCGTCTCGGCGACGACGCGACGCAACGCGTACCGTTTTTTAATCCCCGAATATAAAGATAACGCCTGAACTTCATTATCATTCAGTCCGGGTAAGCGAGAGGCATAAAGCGTGTTTCGCCTATCTCCCCTTTTCCCCTCCTCAACCGGATGTGCGGAGCAAGCAATGTACGGAAGGTGAAGTATCCAAAAACCTGTTTCGGTCGCGAACGCTCTTTCTCGGGAGGAGGAGGAGGAGGGTTTTTCTGTTCCCGGACCCGGTAATTCCACGACAGAAACGTTCGAGAAACTCGCGGTTGACCAAATCGCGAGCGCCAAATAGGTCGACGCGCGTGGAACTGGCCGATTAACCCAGAGAACGAAGTAGGACGCGTAACCGCCCGCGCCCTCGGCGAAGGACGGACACCTCCACGACGTCCGTCTGTCGAAGCCGCGCGTCGCGTCGCTTCGCCGACGCTAACACGCGCCGCTCGTCATTGTAATAATTTCCCATAACATATTACCAATTGCGAAAGTCCACATCCTTTTCATTGTAATTTTTCTTATATCCTCTCCCGTTTCGTGCCCCTGGCGATCTCGGCCTTGCGATATGGGAACGGAGGGTCCCTCTTCCGGGACCGCAATACACTTCCAACTGTTCCCGCCAGATGGTTCTTGCCGGAAGGAGGTTGTCTACCCCGGCTGGCCATCAGTCTGTTGCGGGTACCCAAAGTGGAATGACGACCGACCGACCGACCGGCCGACCATTCGCCCCGTGGAAAAGAATGTGATCGTTTAGTCGCCAAACTCTAAATGCTAATAATTACTTTCTCTCCTTTAATGGGGATGCGGGGGAAGGATGTCAGAGAGCATTGAACTTGTAGTCTCTTGCTTAACCCGTACTCTACCCTAAATCTTCAATCTAATTACCCAAACTAATCCGTTGTTTCCCACTAGAGTTAAACGTTTGGTGCTCTTTCTTTCCGTCGAGATCAGGCAGAACGAGAGAACGAGAACTACACTATACTTCCTAGATACTCTTCCTCCTTCGTCGTATGCATAAACAGAAAATTTCCTATTTATGATACCGAACGTAAACAGACCTTGAAAGTCCCGTCGATAAGAAATTGTTATTTAGTTTTGCAATTTTTAAATCAAAACTAATCTAAATAACAACACGGACGGTAAACTTAGAAAGTTTTCTATTTTTAGTAAAAATTAGTCCATTTGTTTTCTTCGACTCCGGATAGTGTATAACAGTATCTACCCTTTCATAATACCCACAAACAAACAAGAGCGAGTAAACAGTTAGTCTCTCTATGTAAGACCGAACGATTCGAGTCATTAAATGCCGACTAAAAACTTAATCAAACAGCATTTTACTGCTCAGAATATTGTCGTCGTTAAATTCTACATAAACAGAATTGCTTAATGTCCTATTTTTGATTTGATAACTTCTGTTAAGAAATCTACTCAATGTATTGTGCATTTAATGATGAAGCGACCAAAAAAAAAAAAACCAACGGAACGATGAAGAAGCGAATTTTAAGCGGAGCCGTTACGCAACCACTTTTCATTTAAAGCATTAGACTGCATTATCCTTTCCGCAAATTTAAAAAATATCAGAATCACGTATCGTAGCGGTGCTTCGTTTACAATAGGTCAAACGTTTGCTGCCGCGGAAGTTGGTTATCGAGTGCTTTTGTAACTCGTTAAGAACATCTGCGAATTTTAATGAAATCGCAGCTTAAATAAATGAAAGGTAAGAAATTAGACCCGAGAACGAATAAAATGGATAAGGCGTGAGGTCGTATCCAAGTGAGTAATAAAACTTAAATTTCTTTATCTGCATTCGTCAAACAGATACGGTGACATTTAATTTTTAAACGTCCGACATCCTTGAAACTTTTATATATTATTATCTTTTATCAATTACATAATATAATTATAAACATTTATGGCCCCGATAGTAAGCTAGTAAGTTGCCTCCATTATCTATTAAAATATCAGTACCATGCAATGAAAATTAAAAAAAAAAAAAGTAATAATAATAATGATTTTATGCTGATTCATGTAAAGTGAGATACTCCAAACAAAATATACAAATAATAATAACAAAAATAGATCAAATTACAATAAAGTAACTAAGGATAAATGTAAAATTCATTGTTTACTACACAAATTGTTTATACACAAATTAGATTCAAATTTATTTTTTTATAAGGTATTGCTGTTATTTTTAATTGCATGATTTTTCTAAATTCTCCACACAAACATAATTATATCATAATGGCAATTAGAGATCCACTAATTATAATATGTAGACAATAAAGCTTCCTAATTACCTAAATTGCCATTAAAAAAAATCAAAATTTCATGTTAATGTGCAATATTAGGTGCGCTTATGCACTTTCTAATGCGACGCATTTTCGACAGGAAATATTCTGCATATCTTCTGTCATTTAAACGCCCATTGTAACTTATAAAGAAAATATTAGTTATTATTTCGAAGCGTATTTATATATAGGTATTGCGGCTCGTGACCTTAATGCCGCCGTAAAGAATTAAATATATCAAAAAATAGTACAACCGTTCATTAAGTTTACCTTAATAAGAAACACAAATTTTTAAAATGAGGTCATATGGTTCAGTTATCTCACTCTTTACTGAAGTGGAATGGAGAATGACCTAATTTGGAATTGTGCATGTTTTAGGTAAATACACGATCAAGTGGAAGATTAAGAAATCTGCACTGGTCACTATTTCCTCTTAAGCAGCAGAAAAAAAAAGGAAGAGGAGGAAGGGAGAATATTCCAAATTTGCTTAAAACAAACACATCTAAATAATGTGGCACTTTGCAAAATAAATGGTGTTTGTATGAGACATTCTGAGGCTTTTAAACACAAGCATAAACGAACGCCGGATCCGATCAAAGGCATCAAAGGTTGCAGTTTACTCCGTAAATAAAATTTTGACGACAACTGTCGATCGGTTGGTAACTAAGGTTATAATTTCTAGCTTAAACTAGTATAGAGCACTTGTATTTTGAATCTATGCACACATATATATAAAAAGCAAACAATTCCAACAAATAATTTCTTTTATATTAATATTTAAGAAAAATTCATCTTGCTAAAGTCATTATTCAAATAAATTCAAGCTATAGGTCCTATAAATAAACTTTCAATCAATAATCATATAAAGACGACGACGTATGCAGTAAAACGATGCAAACCCGAGAAATTACAGGGTTATTTTTTTAAATGTATTTCAAATGAATTCCTCCGATAGTGATGATGAGGACAAGACAACGATGCACACGCACGAGACAATAACAATCACAGACTTAAATCTCGAGTTTTATATTTATTTTTCTCAATTTTTTAGCTTAGAGTTCGAAATAATTTTATCATTAAAAAAAATTTATTCATTTAAATCGGTTCTCTTATTATCTGATTATAAGCAATATGGCACCGAAATGTTATTTTATTTTTTAAACAAGTTGGGAAACCTGCTTAGTAAGACGAAATATATAATTAATTTTATCACTTGAACTCTGTTACAGGTGTTTACACATACTCTGCCTGTATAAGATTTCAAGTTCTACACTCATAATAAACAGCAAAAATTTAAATGTTATATATACAAAAAAGTATAACTTGGATTGTTTATTACGTAAAGTGTACCACAGTAATACTCAATATATTTTCAAGAAATTTTTTTTTCTTTTTTTTATGGTAATTAAATTAAGGTAGATATATCTGGCTTTGTTATTGTATAAAGAAAATGCTCAAGTACAAAGAAACTTTGTACCCATCAAGATCCAAACCTTCTTGATGAGTACAGTTTGAAGTTGTGTATCATTAAAGTTCTCAGTAGAAAAGTGGTGTTTGACTTTGCTTTTCCAATATTTAAATTAATCACACATTACTGTACAGAAGAACACTCAAGAAAGTACAACGAAGCAATACCCATCCAGATCCAAACCCAAAGGGCTCTTGGCAGATACAGCTGGAAGGTATGTCGAGTCGCGTATCAACAGATGCTCTCTGTATTAAATTCCTCTATAAAAAAACCAGTGTTTTCCTTTGCCTTTCCGACATTTAAATTAAATCACATTACTGTATAAGAGAATAATCAAGTAACTCCTGTACCCATCAAGATCCAAACCCNTGTCTGATCCTACCTTAAACTGGAGGGAAGGGACCTTGACGGATACAGCTTGTATTTAAATGTACAGTAACAAAGGCAGATGTGTGATCAGTTTAAATAGAGAGGAAGCAAAGGCAAATTTAATATACAGTGCATTTGATGATACATAACATACCTTCAAGTATGTTATGTATCATCATAACAAGTAACTCCTGTACCCATCATACATAACAAGTAACTCCTGTACCCATCAAGATCCAAACCCAGAGGGTTTGGATCTTGATGGGTACAGGAGTTACTTGTTATGTATGATGGGTACAGGAGTTACTTGTTATGATGATACATAACATACTTGAAGGTATGTTATGTATCATCAAATGCACTGTATATTAAATTTGCCTTTGCTTCCTCTCTATTTAAACTGATCACACATCTGCCTTTGTTACTGTACATTTAAATACAAGCTGTATCCGTCAAGGTCCCTTCCCTCCAGTTTAAGGTAGGATCAGACACTAGACAACCAGCGAGAAAAGTGATAATTACCTTTGCCTTTTCGATATTTTGTCCAGTTTTATGGTTCATAATGAATTTACACACGACTCTTTCCTCATCGTTAGATCCAATAGTCATAGTCAACTCCACTCGGATGTCGTACAGCTCTCGAATCCTGTTAACAACTAGCTGCAGTGACTCATACGAAGAAGAGGGAAGGAGCAGTTCGATACAATCGCTCATTCCTCGCCGCCTGTTCTAATTACACGGCATCTTCTCTCAACACGGAAATTCCGACCGACTTGTCCGCCATTACGGTGACCGCTCGGCTCCGCTTCGAGGTTAGAATAAAGTAGATCCGGGTTGCGGGTTCGAGAATGCACGATGCTGCATGGATATGCAACAATTACGACATCGATCGTTCGCTGCCTTTTCACCTTTCGTCGCCGACCACCGTCGGCACGCTGGCAAAAATCTACAGGCGACTCCCCCTAACTGTAGAAAGTGACAACATCCGCCGGGTAATTTTATACCGCCGTTAGATATTATCGACGTAATAAATCGAATTTAATTACTTAAAAAAATAATACGTATTTAAAATTATTCCGATTTCTTCTAAGTAAAATTTATTTTAAAAATAATTTAAAAAAAAATTATGTATAATAAAAGTTTTATTATTATTATTCTTGCGCAGACGAATTTAAACTTCTTCATCTACTGCGTGCCACCTACTGGTGATAATTCTGTGCCTTATTTTTATTTTTTTGTTTTTTAAATATGTATTTTGTTCGAAGTATTACGTGTTAAAATTTTAAATAAATTATTTATAAATATTTTCTAAATTAATTTAATTACATTAAGCTTTAATCAATTGATAATTAAAAAAAATTAACGTGTGACACGATTGAAGGTTTTTCATTGGTCGATATCGCTCAAATTTTATTTAATACCGTGATTTCGACCAATTAGGTTTTTTGAAAGGATTAACTAGATTATAAATAAAAGTTTGTTCGGCAGTCGTTGTGAAGTATGAGCGTTTTGCTGTACAATACTGTATATACCTAATTTTAAAATAGTTTTCTGTTGTGTTCGCTCTATTTAATTCTTGATATGGGTCACATTGATCTGTAATGATCTCCGAAAAGACTTTATTCATTGATAATGCATTAGCGGCGGAAGAAAACGAACTTAAGCTGAATTCTAGAATATTTTATTGATGCCGCCAAATCTTAAACTAAGCAATTATTTAAATTTTAAAAAAATANATTTGCATTATAATAAATATCCAATTTATATGTTACAAATAAGGTTTAGCAGTTAGATTCCAGGGCTGAATGGAATTTTAAAAAAATTATATGGTAAAATGAGAAGCTTTTCATATTGTACAAAACAGTATCTCTAAAATTAAAATATATATTTTTGAATTTATGACAGAAGTCTTTTAAACTTGTTTAAATTTACTTTCACTGAATTGTTTGTCATATAGTTTTTAATCAGCATTTTCAGATTATTTTCATTATCAATTTGCTTTCAAGAATATGAGTTAGCCTGAGAGATAAATGAAGGAAATGAGGATAATGTTTTAGTTCTATAAACCTGTATTTTGCCTAAAAGCGTAATTATAGACAATAAAGTTGCACATTATCAGGGGTTTTTTCATCAAAGTTTTATGATTTGGGTTTTTTTTTGGTTGTTGTTTTGTTATATGTTAAATAGTACTTCCATTTAAAAATTCATTTGATTGTTATAGAAAATCTTGAAGAAACTTTGATTGCATTTTAAAAGATTAATGATGGAACAAAAAATAATCTTTACTCTATCATTACAAACAAATGACAACAATTTACATAAGGCAAAATATCTGATATGGTTGTGTGCAAATAAAGGTATGTGAATAAATTTTGAAGACAAGCAGTCAGATTTATCAACAGACAGTGTCTAAAAGTATATTTATTCCTGGAATTAATTGCCAAATCTTGTATCTGTTTTTATTTAATACAATTTTATAATTATTTCTGTATTAAATCAGTTCTAAATATTAATAATTATATTGTAAATCTCTAATTAGAAATGAGTTGAGTTAATAATCATTAGAGATGTTGATTAGACACATTCTCTTCTATTCATGACAAATGTCTACATGAAATCAATTTTATCTATTATCAATTTAATTAACTCAGTTCTAATCTAGATAGCATGATTATTAATATTTGGTAATTAATTGACCTGATCATTACATTTTTATCAGGCTTAAGTATTAACAAAAGAATAAAGTCACTTTTGAATTTTTGTAATTTTAAATATAACTTTTTTTCTAAAATAAATCATATCTGTAATGATATAATTTGAAAGGGGTTTTAATATTTTGTATTTATAATAATTGCTAAAAATTTATTGAAATTTGTTTGAGTATTGCTGGTTATCTTTATATATTTCTGAATTGTGTATCTAATATGAAGTTAATTTGTCTTTGTTAATTATTTAATGTGCATTTTTAAGAATTCTTTTTTCCAGTTATGATTTTAATATTTTTAAAGATTTTAAACTTACATTTGACATAATTGTTTATCTGAATTGTGTATCCGATTATTAAAAGTTATTGTTAGTAATTTAAGTGAAGAATAAAGATAAATTGAAACAATTGTTTTATTTAAAAAATTACAATGTATTACAACATTTTTAAATCTTTAAAAACATAACCAGACACGAAATGAATTATTAATTAAGTTTTAAAAAGAATCACGTGAGTCATTCATTTACGCTGATTGGTGCATAGAATTTTAAACGTTAAATAATTTAAAACGCCATTTTTAAATCTTTAAAAAATTAACCAGACACGAAATGAATTATTAATTAAGTTTTAAAAAGAATCACGTGAGTCATTCATTTAAGCTGATTGGTGCATATGATCACGTGCTCTGTCAAAGCTTGAATTTCGTCATTACACGAAAATTCCAAATATCACCTGACTTAAAGCGAATTAATTTGCGGCACGATTTGAGAGAGAAAGACGTCAGAATATTAAGGAAAAAAAAAAAAATGGTGATAAAGCGACGAGTCATTTACATGTCCGTAAAATAGTTGTAAACAAAACTGATTAAGCAGCTTTTTTTTGGCTGAATAAACGAGAAAGTAGGTTAAAAGGATCTACTATAAAAGGATGTTGTAAATCTGTCGTGTAGCAAGCTTTTAATTGTATTTAATCTTAAAAAACAAGAGGGCTAAATTACAGTTAAACCGAAAATCATGGAGTCGTTCATTTAACTCTGTTGCCGATAAATTTTTGAATCGAAGTCACGTGATAGTCAACCGGGCTGCTAAACCTTCCACATCCGGTCTCGATTCTTCAATTTGAAAATGGCGGCCGAATCAAATGGCGAAAACAAATTTCAATTCCCGATATAACTGCTTTCGGTCTCGAGCTAATCCGTTTTAATACGTTTCTACCCCCGATTTAACGATTTTTCCCGCCTTATAGGCATTAGAAAAGGCCTTTTCCCTATACCGTTGCGAGTTTGCCAGGCCCGAAATGGAGGCGGCCGGTTTTTTAACTCCGTCTCGTGGGCATTAAGAGGGCCTTTTTTTACAATCCCATTAAAGGTTATGCCAGACCCGTAATGGAAAGGCCGGGTTTCGACCTTATCCGGGACCAGCCTTCCCGAAAATTCCTTGCATTACTCGTTTGAATTCGATCCCGGTTCCCCCAGAACGGTAGGCCTTATCAGCATTCAACGGCTTTCATACCTCGATCTTTCTCGTTTTAACGTGTTTCAATCCTCGTTGTAGCGAGCCAGTCCTCGATTTAAGGCGCTTCGATCCTTATTTTAGCTACGTTCTCACGGTCGAAATCTAGCGATTAACCTTATTTCAAAAGGAAATAGATCCGGTGTAATAGTTATTACAAGAAAATGGCGATTTGTTACCACGCCAACCCCGTTTTAAAGTTTCCTGCGAATTTTTCAAGCAAGGCATCTTCATTTTACCTCATCATTACGTTGTATTGAATGACGTAAGCTTAACACAAGATTTCACGAATCTGTCATGATTTTGCGATATTTTTTTAAATTTGTAATTGCTACACACACATTTTACGGTTAATTTAATATCTTAATCATCATTATTTTCGATAATCATCTTAGCCCTGTCGATCTCGTGCCGAGGAATTTAAAAAAAGAAAAAAAATTACTTTCCACTTCTACGTAAATACTTGGCTGGGGAACGTTACTCATTCTGCAGTTCCGCTTTGTAATCCGCTCTTATCAATGAACAAATAAGCAATTACGTGGTTTTTATTACGTGTAAATTTTAATTGAAGTAATAATAATCCACTTTACCGGTTTCAGATCCGCGAATTAACACGAGCAGAGATTAATTGCAATTAGAAGTGATTAAATTATGATTACGGCTCCTGCTTACAGTTAAATACATGATTACCGCCCTCCATTTGCAGTTCATTACAGCAGGTGTTAATTACAATTAGAAGCGATTAAATTTTAAAAATTACTGCAGTTAATTACGAATGCTAATTACAATTAAACTTACGATTACATCTCTTATTAAAACAGGTGTTAATTACAATTAAAAGCGATTAAAATATGATTACGGTTCCTATTTGCAGTTAATTACAATTAAATATGACATTTTATGGGATTTTAATACTTCAAACTCTCAAATTATACGAAATTATATATATTTTTAAATATTAATGCTTTGTAATTAAGTTAATGTGGTTCCTGTAAGCCAAAAAGACGTGCAAAATATGATTTAAATTGAGTTAATATTAATAGAATTAGGGAAATGTGGTTTATCTTCTGATTTATTCTTTTTTTTTTGTTTACAGATTTGTATAATTTAATCCCAACTCATTGAAGTAGTTAACATAATAGTATTTAATAATTACCTTTTGATTCAGTAACGCTTCGNTTTTTTTTCTTTTTTTCATTATAAAATTTGTTTTTATTGTATATTATAAAAATTGTTTTTAATAATTTGTCTGTTTTAGTAATTTTGTTAAATTAATGGAACTGATATGTTGTAAAATTATTTCATGCTAGCAAAGGATAGATTATCTGTCCATGGGGAGGGTAAGTTTCATTGAATGGAAAAACATTTTCATGTTTCTTCTTAAGCCATAAATTAAATTTATATTTTAAATGAATATCTTGTTTATTACAATTTCAATTGTTTTCTGTTAAGAATTTGTGCTTTTCAGCTTTTGCTATTAAAGCACTATTTGAGAAATTTTCACAATTTCATTTATAAATAGCTTTCATTAAATAGATCTGATCTAGTTAAATTTAAAAAATATCAAAGATATTTGATAAATAATACAAGGAAATGGGGATTTAGTAAATATTAATTATTTATTCATTTCTCTGATAGGTTCTAGTGGATTGATAGTTATTTTTATCTTTAAGTTTAAAATATTATTTATCATAAGTTCCTTGAATTACAAGGTTCCTTGAATTGAAAGTTCGTTGAAAAATATTTTACTGAAAACAAATTAATAAATTATTATTAATTTGTTTTCAGTAAAATATTTTTAAATTCAGTATTTCAGTACATTAAAGTCTCATTGATAGAATTCTTCCTTTTTAAATGAAATAGTTATAACTCAAAAGTTCAACACTTTTCTGTAAGCCCAGCATTTATTTCTTTACAACACAAATGTTTTCAACTCTGTTTGTGAATTTTCTTCTTGTAACTCTTACAAATCGACAGTTTGATTAAATTAATATTTAAATTAAAATTTAAAAAGCTAGCTGCTGAAGGCATTTAGCCAATAAAATTAATCTTTTTGACAGATAAGTGAAAAATTTAAAAGCAATTCTTAGAATAAATAAAACATCACTAAAAATTATACAACTTATTTTTACAAATTAAAAATACAGAAATAACCAAGCCCACCAGTGATTGAAGAGATAAAACTGCTGAACACTGGTAGTTGGTTGTGGATTCATGCCTTACCAGTGGGCTGGCCACATGGAGTTTTCCAGGTTTTTTCCACATTAATAACACCTAGATAGGGGTCAGTTTCTGACTCCTATATAGGTGTTATTAACATCCCTCTGAATCCTTATAGTTATATTTTGAAATACTAAGTATCCTATAAATACATAGAGAACCCTGTTAGTGTATTGAATACCTATAATTGATCATAGAGTTGGGGAGTATATAGAATGTATAGGATCAATCTGGAGGTTGTTAGAATACAGAAAAACACAAGTATACTTTTGAGAAAAGAAACTGATGACTACACTAGTCATTTTTGCAACAGAGTCAAGGGTTACAGTTCATTTAGATAGAATAGAGTTGCTACATACCAACTTTAGAAACACAGTAGAGCGTTGGTTAACCGAAAGCATTCCAGTCAGCAAATTTAAATTTTCGCTAGTGCTGTGACACTGCAATCTTTGGCTATATCTTGGGCTACTTCAATATTTTTTTTTGTTTGTGTGTGTGTGTTTTAGCTGGCAGCACTGGCACTTTTGTGTGGTGTTTTTCTGAGGATTGTGTGTCGTGCTGAATCAAACGTTTTTGATACTAGATTAACTTCTAAAGTATAATTTTTTGTTTTTATATTTTTCATTATATCTATTTTGTTTGTAAAAAATAAAGAAATAGTTTTTAACGATACAATAGTCACAATTATTATTTTAAAAAGTTTACGTTAGGCTTAACATGGACGAAAATTCAATGCGAAGCGACACACAACAGAGAAAAATTTCAGGTTAGGTTAATATATATTTTTGTACATAATCAGTTATCTGAAAAATAAGTTATCCGAACAATCCCAGTTCCCAATTGATTCGGATAAATGACGCTCTACTGTAAATACATTAGAACTTTGAGGCATTAGAAATATTTAAAGCAACCAATAGGACACAATGCATCAACCATAAGGATGCAAAGGTATTATCGGCAGTGTGCAAGGCTTTTAGAAGAGACAAGATAAACAACACAGAAATAGCCAGGTGGTTTTCAAAATTAAATCAAGAAAAGTCTATATGCTTCTAAAACTTTGTGTTATGTTAATGTTGATTTTGATTATCTTAATACTTTTAATTAGTCTGTAAAAATAAACTGTAGAATTTTTATTGATGTTTTCTTTATTCTAAGAATTGTTTTTAAGTTTTCTACTTACCTTTGTCAAAAGAAATGTAATTTTATTGGCTAAATGCCTTCAGCAGTTATCTTTTTAAATTTTAATTTGAATATTAATTTAATCAAACTTGATTTGTAAGAGTTACAGGAAGAAGATCCATAAAGAGAGTTGAAAACTGGGAATAAGAAATATGTTATGAAATAGTTTATTTGAAAAATATTATATTTAGGCTGCAATTTGCAGACTTATAAATTCTTACTGTAGTCCGTCTGTCCGTCTTTCATTAATCTCATGAACTGATTTAAATAGATGAATGATGAGACCGGATATACAAATCTTAGGAGCAGGAGGCCCAATTAACTATATATGAACTTCCAATGCAACTGGAAGTCACATTATTTCAATTAAAAAACTTTCCTCTGAAAGGTGTTAGATAGATGATCAGCATGGCTCTATTGTTAAAGGAAAAGTATGATTTAAGGATTAAATTAGTGCTGGCAAAAATCAGAAATTTTCAAAATTGATCAACCAGTTTCAAAACTGCTTTGAATTTGATAGAATTAATCTTTTAATACTGTATTTTAATAAAATTATTAAAATTAATGAAATTGTAATATTTTATTATTAAAATACTACAGTAATAAATGTTATTAGTACTAGCCAGCATTCATGACTATGCTATGTCATGTCTTATCCTCATCAAAAAGAAGTCAGTGTTTCTTTGATGTTCAGAAATGCTGAAGAAAGTATTTATCAACTAGCATTTGAAAATTTTATCATTTAAGATTAATTTCTACTGGTTTTCACTTTAATTTTCAAATTTAAATGTGAGTGATGTATGATTTTGTTTTAAAAAAATCAATGGTAAATTAGTGTGCTATACAAATTGTAATGCTACACTGAAGTTTTCTGGTTTTAAATTATTTGTGGAATCATCTTAAATCCAAGTATACTTTACTGCTAACTAAAAGTCAAATAATGCATGTAAGCAAACAAGCATTTTATTGCTTGTTCAAAACTGGTTTAGGTTTTAGCAGAATAGAAAAAGAAAAAAAAACAAGATTATTTGTATTTCTTTATTCATATTTCTTATGCTTAGTGGTTTATACTATGTTTCAGAAAGTAAATTAAAGTAGCATGATTTAATATTATTAAATATGTTATATACATTATCATCATCAATAAGAGGGTGTTTTATTTTAGATTTAGAAAACCTAGGAACTGTTTGCCAAAAAGTTTTAGGATCGTGTGCAAAGTTGGTAATAATTTTTTGAAGATAATTTAAGTATTGAAGTTTACATTATCTTTGATAATGCTTAATAGCAACATGGCATGAGTACACAGTTCTGGGATTTCCATCTCTTTGCCATCAGCACCACAATGTTTTAGAATGATTTCTTAATTTTTTCAAAAACTGAGAATGCCATTTTTTATTATCTATATTGATTCTTTTGTATTGTAAAAATTCCCCTAAAGAGGAAGTAAAGAGATTGTATATCTTTTGCATTTTCTGTTTAACATTAAAACCAGGTCAAGAAGAAATGACCAATTACGGAAACTGAGATAAGTAGAGTTGACTCCATTTAATTGTAGACCAAGTGGGAATATTAATACAAGCATTACCATATGAAGGAATTTATTGATCTTTATAAATAATTGTTTGGATAGCACTATGATCTGATGGAAAACTTGAAATTGAGTAAGTAATAATTTGAGAGTGAAAAGAAAAAAAAACTAAATCAAAAAAAAGCATTACCATGGGGAAAATTAATGTGTTGTTTATAACCAAAAAATAATAAAAGTTGTTAAAAAATTCTGCACTACATTTAAGTAAAAATTAATTTTGATTTTTGAAAAATTAAAGAATAATCCAGTTTATATTCAAATAATTTCATATAAAATGATTGATAATTAAAATTTTTTAATTTTAAATTGGCAATAAAATTCCTGTAGCAGTCTAATTTATTTTTATCATATCAAAACTCATTACTACATTCAAAACCTTCAAAAATAGTCAAAATCTGCAGTTTATTATCCTGCATAGCTAAGATCAATATTTGTCTTTAAACATCAGTTTATAGTTAGAGCTTTTTTATTTCCAGTACTGTTTAAGTGGTTTGATGCTTTCATTAGTAAGTTATTACTTTCAAGTCTGTATGAAGATATTTCTTTGTTGTTTTCATTATTTTATACATTATTATTTTCGTGTTAAAAACTGTTATTTGATTTAAAACTAGGGATAAAATAAATTTATATATAAATGAAATAAAATTTCATATATTTTGTTACATTTTATAACAACTTGTTTAAATATGTCTATGAAATTCATAAGTCTTTCTGTATTCTAATAATTACTGTAACTGTTGATTTTATTACTTTTCCTATATTTCTTGTTAAAACTATTTTTATGAACTATCTAAAATATCTGAATCCTGCTTTGTATTTCATTACCACTATTTCAGGATAATAATATGTTTGTAATTTAATGTATGTAGACAACACACTTTTCTAAATGAATCTTACTTGCAATTATATGGAAATAAACTTAAGTTAATTATCTTAATATTATGTTTTGATTTTTGAAAAGAATGTTAGATATATAATTTATCATCTTACTCTAGAATTATTATAATCATTATACAAGTAGTAATATATTATAGGATGTACAGTACATTGGTAATAGGGATGGCCAGTTTTAATATTTTAAGTGTAATTAACTTGAAATTATCTATAACTGAATTACAAAGTAATCATCTATTAGAATTTTAGTTAAATTTATTAATTAGATGATACAAATATATGTTTTTTTTTTTATTAGAATAAGTGCACCACTCCTATGGGAGTATAACACTAAGAATACATGAACCAAATACAAATACATGATACAAAGAAAACACAAAATTAGTCTTCAGCTTTTAGTGAAAACTAAAAAGTAAAACTAGAAATTATAAATTATAAATAGTCTTTTCTTTCATATTT